TTTTTTTCGAAACCTCAAATCCACGCTCTTAAACTGACTTATTAGTAGCTTCAGGAAAATTTGTTTTCATAGAACAATTGGGCCACGCCGTCCATCGGTTTGACTTTCAAGACCAAATCGTTAAATAAGACAGCTACTTTTGCTGAAATGCATATTGATGCCTCAGTCTGCTTTAAAGAAACCCTTAGAACCAGTAACGATAGCCTTCTTTCGCTTTGAGTCACAGATGGTATTAGGTGATTGGTAGTCAGATGTGATAGTAACATCTCGAAGCTCTCCATTAAACGGCTTAGCTAATGCATGCGTTCAAAAAGAAAAGTGGAGACAGTGAGCTTAGACATAGCTCGAATTCCAGCCTATGAGTATGAGAGCAAGATAAATACCAAAGTTGCTTTCAGACCTCAAATGATCACGCAAAGTATTGCGCACATGGTTGCAGGTTATATTGCCTAAATTAGTTTTAATATGTACGAGTAACGCCCCAAACATTTCCAAAGACGGGCGAAGTCGGATTACGCGAGCAGAATACATGCATGATCTCCACACAGAAGAACTATGAATTACTGAAATGATCTGAAGATCGGCCTACCTAGTGGTCATATGCTGGGGCACCTCAGTGTCTCCTTCCCCAAAAGCAGGCGGGATGAACTATCAGCGCATTTCCTAACGGTTGTGTGTTGGAGCTCTCCAACAATTCCATGCGCAGTGTTTGACGTGCCGATAAAAACGGACTCAAAGCAAACCTTATAGATGGTCTATTTACTTGCCCTCCATTACAGTTAAGAGTCACACTTCACTTCAAGTTAGCATTTGCGCAGTTTTGGTAAAGAAGTGTCGACGTGGCTATCTAATGGGCTGCATGTTCACACTCATAAGTTGTACCCACATCCAGAATTGTGGTACTCAAAGTCTTTAATCACTGCAGGCTGTCTGCAGGGATGGTTTAATGACCTTGGTCTACAGCGAACATATAACTTAGGTAATCTGGAGTATTTGTTAGGCAACCTGTCAACTAGCTAAAAAGCAGTGCGTCTCTTTGAAGATGAGCATCAGACCAGGGTTCCTGAATGTTGCATGTTCCAATCATTGTTGGTTACCGAATCATAAGGCTTAATGTTTGTGCACAAGAGGCTAGGAACTCTGTAGGCGACGGCGGGATGCCATAGCTTCAGTTTAAAGTCACCGTAGAGGATAATAATAAGTATTATATTTCTCGCAGCTATAGCTCATAGGTTTTTTGACGAACTATGATCAATCGTTAGACGACACATCTCGATGCCGTCATTATGTAGCATTCGGCAATTACTTCCTCTTTCGATGTTTATAACACAGATGTAGTCTTCCGTGCATTGTAGTCCATCGTGAACATCATCTGTAAACAATTTTTGTTGCCTGATCGGTCGTTAACATCCACGGGAATGCGTGATCTTACCAACTTACTATTAATTCCTTTGCGGATATCAAGAAAGTAAACCTGATGAAATGATGAACGAATCGTTTAACACGATAAGCGGTAAGGCAATCTTCAAACTACCTCCTCATTTTTTCCCCAAGTAACATTCTCGTTAATTCATTGTTTACTTTGTCGTTTAAACAGCCATTGAATTGCGCGCACTCGCCCACGCCAAAGCTGATTGGCCCCCAACATCCAACGGGTTGACGCCCTTAATGTATGCAAGAGCACATGTGTCTTAGCAACGCACTTCGCTCGCTTTCGTTATCGCAAATTCACATAGAAGAGAAATAATATCGTACGACAATGCCATGATGTCAAGCGTTTCCATTGCACATCCTGCTCCAGTTATTGGAAGCATCCTTGGTATGGATGATGAGGCCGGTAGCGAGAATGAAGTGGTGCATCGTAAACCTCCTATAATTGAGACTATCCTCAATGAGCTGGGATTTGGGTGGTTTCAGGTTAGAATGATAGTCATCCTTGGTGTAGCTCATTCCACCGATACAATGGAAACTATCATTCAAGCGATCCTGGGCCCCAGTCTCCGCTGTTATTGGCGTCTATCAGCCGACTATGTAGCTCTCCTCACAAGTCTTGTATTCCTTGGCAGCTGTATTGGTGCAGTTCCGCTAGGTTACGCTGCAGACGTCTATGGTAGACGCTCGATCTGTCTTCTGTCCTGTCTGGTGCTGATGTACCTATCCTGGTTGTGTGCAATCAGTCCAACTTATGCATGGATTGCTTCTCTGCGCTTCCTTTCCGGTCTTTTCATTGGTGGAGTACTAACAGCTGGGAGCTCGCTTCTTTCGGAAACAATGCCATCGAAATTTCAAGCCCCAGGGCAACTGATAACCAACAATTTTGAAGCCCTTATTGGTGTCATTACAGCTGCAATTGGCCTGGGTTGCCTAAAAGGACGGTTGAGCTGGCGATTCTTTGTTTTCTTTACCACGTTTCCCTTAGCTCTCTGTGCTGTTGCCTTGGTATTCTTTACTCCAGAATCTCCTGTATACTTATATTGCAAAAAGCAGACACAAGAGGCTGCAATTGTGCTGGATAACATGGCCGCTGCGAATCGATGCATTCCGAAGAGCTCAACAAGTGTGGTTTCTTCCCTAGGCCGTATTCAAGAAGCTGATGAAGCAGAGAATTTCCGCATTTCAAAAGTCGGTGTCAAAGAGGTGTACACTCTGCTTATTCGTCGTCGGCCATGGCTCCTCCCGCTGTTGCTGTGTTTGAACTTCTCTTGGGGCTTTCTGATCTACGGTGGAACTACAATTCTTCCCGTCGAATTGGCTGCCGGTCCTAGAATGTGCATTCAGGTCAGTATAAGCCCTAATAGTAGGGTAGACATTCTGTTTGCCAACTAGACACTGGTGACCGTCCCAATTTTTGTGCCTGAGAGTCCGCGGCTAGACAACGTCTCTTCTGAAAGTCATTGATTGCCTGCTAATCCTTAAGGTAAAGGCCAAGTCTAGAGCCAACAAGTGTTCCATCAACCCATTTTCCCATTGACTTGTTAAAGAACTTTTGGGTTGTACGTTTGAAATAAGCAGTTCCTATAGGCCACTTATAAGTTACCATTTCCCAGGAAGGCTCGATTTAATTCGGCTAACACGAAATCATCCTGTGCACAGAAAAATACACCTGTTATGGCAATTGACGGCTCTAAGGCGACGTGGCAAATTGCAGTGATAAGTTGGTAAGCATAGTTTTGGGCTGTTCCATCGTGTAGATGGTGACACGTCCTGTGCCCAGACCTTGAGCACGCTATCCACCCCACTATTTTTTTGTGATAAAAGTGCTCTCATTGTGGTTAACAAAAGGAATTTGTCTCAACAGCAATGCATTTTTAGTTTCCACTTCCTTCTTGCTGATGCCATCTTTTTGAGCATTAGTAGTTCCATTTGGAGTACCCTGAAAAACCCAGAAAACAAAATCTAAAATTGATATTTCGTAATTAAAAAGATGTCAAGGTAAGCTTGCATGAGTAAACCAAGAAGAACTTTTCTGAGTTCGGAGATCCGTGTTTATCAACTATCATTGTGGCTGAAGAGGAATGCTAATCGGCCATGACTCACCCTGTCACATGACAACTGAAGTCCAACAGGCCATTTAGTCGTGCTGTCACTTCGAGGTGAAGGTTAGCATTTGACCAACACATTGGTCGTCCTGATAAGGATAAAGTTGGGCGGTCAGACGCTGAATGGTGGGGGCGGCGGCTCTCACGGCCTTAGTCATAGTGCTCTTTTCTCGAAGCAAGTTGGCCTTAGAAAAGTAGTGGATGTGACGTGTTTCACACGGTCAGCCCAAACTCTCTGAGAACGCAAAAAGAAACACTTGGTAGTCAGGCGATTGATAACTGAAGAGGCTATACAATAGTTTTTACGGGTTTCAATCCGCCAAACTATGTTCACTTCAAAATCAGGAGGAGAGACCGGTTTCCGTTCTCAGCGTTCATTGAAGGCCAGTTGCTTCACTGCTGCCAATAACCCGTTAAGACAGAATTAATGAGTGGCAAGATTTCCCTCATGCCAAACTTAATCACTGGAACTCTTTGTCTCTGTATGCATCCATTAGGTTTTGCAAACCATAAAGGCCATTAATTTATTCATCACATCGTTACGTGCCTCTTAAAGAGCTAACAAAGTGGCTTTCATTGTTTTAATTCCTACCGTCCAAAAGAGTAAACCATTGACATTCATTCACCGGTCAATTGCACATTCAAGTATTCCAAAAGCACAGTTTATGTTAGTTACTGAAAGAGAATAAATTATCATTCCTTTCTTTAAATTCCTTGCATGACGACTGATATTGCAATGGCGAATTTTATTGCTGTTTAGCTGTTTGGCTCAGAGGTCAACCTGCCGATCCATTGCCAGAATTAGTCAATTGCATTTGAGTAATTCCATTGGGCTCGGTGGTTGGGTCAACTTCACTGCACTTCATATCATGGTGCAACTCTCTGTCATTCAAATGATTGGTTTTTGTGTATGGCTGTCGGCACAGCAGCTACAACGTCTGCTTATTCATTGACACGACGTCAGAGCTGTCTTAACTTAACTTCTGTGTGTGAGGCGTTGCGTCGTGGAGAGCCAGTTGGACTTGATTCTCAGTCAAAGCGCATGCATAACCGCTACTCCATTGGCTTAATGCTTCAAATTCGGGCAACTCAGTATGCACATTTTTTGGAAGGATTTTGGTCATTCAGCATTCTTGTATTTAAAAATCACGAAATTTGTCGAAAAAGTGCAGGTTTATTCTTTAAAAGATTATATGATTCTAGTGCACCAGTGACCCCTGAACTGACACCTACGGGAGGATCAGAAGGCTATGTGTATGCAGATTACACATTTGGATTAAATATGGCGTCTTAAACTAACTTGCAGACTTTCATAAGTCAGTGTTGCGACAAAGGAATGCTTGAACCAGAAAGTAACCAGTGGGTAGAAGAGGTCGGAGTGCCTAGGAGAATCGACTCACCGTCAGTCAGGCTTGCTATCAGTCAGCATTACTGCTGCTGGACTAGCTCAAAGCTTTGCCATCCTTCATGATATTTTGGGGGTGATGTTGGCATTTAGGAAACGATCTTACCGGTTGGATGTTGACATAAGGTTGGCAAAGTCACTGGAAAAGGCCAAGCAAGTGGGGCTGGATTGACAAATCCTACTTAAATTACTAGTTTTTAAGATTTCTAGCGAAATTCAAATAAGATTAGGCCGTTTCCAATTAGTATGCGAGTGTGATGCACAACTAAACTTCAATTCAAAAAACGCCCAATTGATGTATTTTTGCATTTGGAAGGGTTTGAAAAGTGAAGAACTCATAAGCGTCGTGAGGGGAAAGAAATTTTGCATTTGCCTTGTAGGACTTCAGGATTGCCAACACCACTAACCTGTCGCCAGATGATCAGCAGCCTGGAGGGACTCCTTTTGAATGCTGCAAGCCACTGCGGGAAGAGGGCTATCAATCGCTGCTCATTTCGGCCTCAGGTGGCCTTCTAAGTCTCCCACTGGCCTACGGTTTGGTCGCGTTGCTAAGGCAAAGGCTTCCACTTGCCCAAGTTGTCACTTTTTCACTCACTAGCATTCTGCTCTTTGTTCAGGTATAACTTAGTATCTGAAATGTTCACATAGTTGCTAAACTTTATCTCTCAGTGTCTTCTAGCTCAAGCAGCATTTCGTTGGGATCGCTGGACATTTGGAACTGGCGTCAAAAAGTTGCCTACACTATGATTCACTTATTAATGGCAAAAATTTTGACATTTCAAGTTATAAAAGCAAACGATAAATCTGATTCTTTTTCTGTCGCATTCACTTTTCTTTTAGATTCAAGGCAGTAGGATGTAGAGCGTGATTTGCCACATAGATTAGGAAAGCTGGTTTCGAAGCCATTTAGTTCAGTGTTAGTCAAACCCAGAAACCACTACTGGTTTATTTGTATTCATGTTTAAATGCTCCACATTTCCACTTACTTCTGCCCACACTACTAATTGCAATTCCATGAAATTGTGGCCCACACAGCAACTGATCACAGTCTCACCTTACATTGCTGAATGAAGGTTAAGCCGTAACTCATAAGGTGGCAGGGCTTCTCTCCTTATGCCTACAGTTGATTTCATTCCTGGATCGTGCAAGCTGACCCCGAACTATTGTTATTTTCGCTTCACGTTGCTGATTGGTGATGCAACTGACCGTCAACAATGTAAACAGGAGTTTATGACACGTAGTCAAGACAGTCTAGTCTCTGGAAGATGCAACTACTTCAAAATACTAGTAGAAACAGCTTATGCTTTGCAATAAAACATTACAGTCCATTCTAAGTGGTAATAAACTGCAAGAATTGAAACTATCTACCAGTGCAGCACCTCCTTTAGCCTGATCAGCATTCCTGACTTCTACACTCTTCACGAGAACGTGTTCATTTGATCAGTTTATTTGTTAAAGATGATACAATTGTAGATGCGCAATTCTCGAACTTACTCATGAAAGGCAAAAATGCAGAGATTTAACGGTTATTTTGCCCTCTACACAAAGTCCATTTGAAATAAATCCAATCCGTCTAATTCGGCTCACTTGACCTTTGTGTTTTTACTTTCTCCAGACTTTCTGTATGGCATCGACAGTCTCAAATGTAGTATTCTTTGCTACTCGCGGTGTAGCGGCAGCTGGTAGCGGTTTGATGGGGATCTACGCGAGTAACATCTTTCAGGCACGAGTTCGAAGCCTTGCCAGTGGTCTCTGTGCGGCAGCATACCGTCTCGGCATCCTCACCGCACCCTACGTGGGACAGATATTGTTGCAAGATCGTTCCGTCCTACTCGCCATCCTCACCTTCACTCTTGTTGCCATTGGTAGTGCAATTGGATCCATTATACTGCCTCGAATGCGAGCCCTCCGTACCGTAAGGAATTTCACTGCCTTTCTCCTTAGTCTCACTAGTTAAAGGCTACTTAGCAGGTCGAGGTGATTCGACTCCTTTCTGAGGCTGTAAAAAACGTCAGCCTAACGTAGATACTGTCGCGAAAATTGAAGGCATGGCATGCCTTAAAATAAAGTCAGTTTTGCTCTATGATTAGCTGTGCAAAAACAGTGCAAGAAGATTCACTCATCGTTTGCCTCTTGCTACAAGAATAAAGAAAGACTGAGCGATTGAGAGCCTCAAGGTTAATGAAACCGCAAAAGTTGAAGAGATCACGCGCCTGAATATCATCAGAACAATTATCGAATAAGCCTGACTCTATCCAGTCATTAATTCATTTCACTTGCCAAG